ATGTATATTTTTTATAGTGTAATTATATACCTTTTTTATATATCTTATTTCTATAAAGGCACTTTTATATATCCTAATGGGGCAGTAACCAGAGCCCTTACTTCTATATTCATTCATTTTTTACTGACGGCACAAATTTCCGTACCACCATTAGGTAGTTTGGCCCTCTGTGTAATCCCTACATAGTCCCTCCCCTTGTGGGGGCGGCTTAATAGTATTACCAAGAGTGAGCCGCTCGTCGCCCCTTTTTCTACGCACACAATGACCGACATGACTACTTTTCCCATGGAGCTCTGCTCCAAATAATGCCGGTCACGTGTTGTTACGTTGGGTGTGTCTTGGTACCACTGGGTAGAGCGAGCTGCTCACCGCGCGCCGCCCTGCTTAACGTAACTACATTTCCCATGAATCCTTGCTCCGGTCATGTGACATTACAATTTTATAATATCTTTATACACAAGCCTCGTTTTTAATATATAACTATATTACATAGTCCATATTAGTCTATTTTATTGATCTGTATATATATTACTTACTTTAATTATGTTTTAAATATGTTTTTCAATATGTGTTTTTAGTTTGTTGATCCATTTTTTGGCGCCAATTTCAATTATTACATACCCTTATAAATATTGTTTCATGCCAGGTACAATGCTAAACTACCATTTTGATAAACCCTTAAAGGTGAAACGTGTTAATGGTTTTAAATTGTGTATTTTAACAATAAAAGTGTTTTTTTTGGTTACCTTTTTTATAGGACCAATCTTCATTTTATTGTATTTTATATGCACTTTTTATTGTTACTTTTCCAGGCATTTTTATTGTATCCTGATTAAAGAAATCCTAGGTGGGGATCATTCCACCAGTGCTGTTTAATAGAGCAGTATCCTCTGCTCTACACTTGTGAGTATATTTTATTTCAATTTATTTTAATAATTTTTTTCAAACTGAGAGCACTATTGCTGTTTTTCATATATTGTGGAGTACGACATAACCAAGATTGGACTGACTGATGCACCTCTTCAGTATATCCCTTAGCGGGGATTATATCGCTAAACACCCTCCATCCTAGAGCTGGCCTAAGCTCCTCCAAATGTGAGTATATTATCTTCCTTTTATTCATTTTATCCTTGGATTTACAATACTTCACTATTGGCAGTTTGTTGTGTTTCCATTCTTGTCTTCACATATACGGATTATTTATAACCCGGACGGATCAACTCCTGAGGACTATACAAATACTCTATCCAGCTATATCAGTGAGACGTTTCATTTATTTTTATCCTAATGAACATTTTATCACTTGGAAGGACTCTTTTATCCTTTTTTTCTGTTGTTTTAAGAGAGACTTTTTATTAGTTATATAGGCCTATTTTGTTGTTGTCTATTCATTTAGACCATTTGGTCTGGCCTTTACTGTCATAGACTACTGTATTTTAGCTTTCAGAGCAGCCCTTACCCACTTTTACCAGTTTTAGTTTGTAGAGAGGGGGTCTGGTACTTGTAGGTGGAGCAGGTACTTGTGGGGGGAGCAGGTGTTTGTAGAGAAGGGGTAGGGATTGGGGGGGGCATGGGATTGTAGAGAGGTGACCAGGGGTTTGTAGAGAGGGGGTAGGGATTGTGGGGGGTGCAAGGGTTTGTTGGGAGGGAGAAAGTACTTGTGGTGAACAGGGGTTTGTAGGGAGGGGGCAGGTACTTGTCGGGGGATGCAGGGTTTGTAGATAGGGTGCAGTGATTGTGGGGTGCGCAGGGATTTGTAGAAAGGGGGTCAGTGACATGTGGGGGCAGCATGGTTTTTTGGGGAGCAGAAGTTTTTAATGGGGTGACCAGGGGTTTGTAGAGGGGAGACCAGGGGTTTGTAGTGAGGAAGCAGGGATTGTGGGGGGGGGAGCATGGGTTTGTAGAGAAGGGGCAGGTACTTGTGGGGGAAGCAGAGGTTTGTATAAAGGAAGGCAGGGGCTTGTGGGGGAGCATGTACTTGTGGAGGAAGCAGAGGTTTGCAGAGAGAGGGCAGACACTTGTGGGGGGAGCAGGGGTTTATAGAGAGGGGGGCAGCCAATAGTGGGGGGAAACAGGGGATTGTGGGAGAGCAGAGGTTTGTAGAGGTTTGGAGCCAGGGACTAGAGGGAGGGGGGAGCAGGGGTTTGTAGAGTGGTTTTGTAGAGGGATAATCAGGGGTTTGTAGAGTGGGGGCAGGGATTGTGGGAGAGCAGAGGTTTGTAGAGAGGGGGCCAGGGACTAGTGGGGGGAGAGCAGGGGTTTGTTGGGGGAGCAGGGGTTTGTAAAGGGGTTACCAGGGTTTTGTAGGGGGATGATCAGGGGGTTGAAGAGTAGAGGCAGGGATTGTGGGGGGAGCAGGGGTTTGTAGAGAGAAAAACAGGGACTTGTGGGGTAGCAGGTAATTATTGAGGGAGCAGAAGTTTGCAGAGAGGGGTCAGGTACTTGTAGGGGGAGCAGTGGATTGTAGAGAGGGGGTCAGAGACTTGTGGGGGAGGCAGGGGTTTCTTGGGGAGCAGGAGTTTGTAATGGGGTGACCATGGTCTTTTTTAGAGTGGAGACCGGGGTTTGTAGAGAGGAAGCAGGAATTGTGGGGGGAGCAGGGGTTTGTAGAGAGGGTGGCAGGTACTTGTGGGGAGAGCAGTGGTTTTTAGAAAAGGGGACTGGGACTTGTGAGGGCAGAAGGTACTTTTGGGGGGAGCAGGGGTTTACAGAGAGGGGCTAGGGATTGGCGTGGCAGGGATTTGTAGAGAGGTGATGAGGGGTTTGTAGCGAGGGGGTAGGGATTGTGGGGGGAGCAGGGGTTTGTAGAGAGTGAGCAGATACTTGTGAGGGAGCAAGGATTTCTAGATAGGGGGCCTGAAACTTGTGGGGGCAGCAGGTACTTGTGGGGGAGCAGGGGGGTAGAGGGTTGACCAGGGGTTTGTAGAGAAGGGGCAGGAGTTTGTTGGGGAGCAGGGGTTTGTAAGGAGGGGGACATGTGGGGGAGCAGGTACTTGTCGGGGGAGCAGGGGTTTGTAGATAGGGGGCAGGTACTTGTGGAGGGAGCAATGGTTTGTAGAGAGGGGGTGAGGGACTTATGGGGGGAGCAGGAACTTGTAATGGTGTGACCAGGGGTTTGTAGAGGGAAGACCAGAGGTTGGTGGTGAGACATAGGTATTTGGAAGCAAAGTTTCCGGGATACTACCGGCATGATGGTGTTCATCTCTCAGATGTCGGTACAGACTTTTTGTTACTAGGCTTTCAGGATGGTTTGCAAAAGGCATTGTTTTTGTTGGGGGGCACTTAGGTAGCTTGAGGAGTCAAGATCTGAGCTGTGGCGGGGGATGGTGGAGGGGGTAGGGGTTTGTAGAGAGTGGTCAGATACTGGTGAGGGAGCAGGGTTTTGTAGAGAGGGGGCCTTGGACTTGTGGGGAGAGCTGGTACTTGTGGGGTTATCAGGGGTTTGTAGAGGGGTTCCATTACCACACCATTTTATTCAGGTTTCGGCATTCATGAGGGCTAATTATGAGCAGTTTTTCTACAGGAAAACTTTTTTTCAGAAAACATTGGTTTCTTCACTGATCTGGAATTGTTGACGGAAGTGTCAGGGAGTATTGGGTTTGGGGCTTATTTTGCAGGTCAGTGGTGTGGGGTATCTTGGTACACCCACACATTGTAAAAATTGGAAAGTCATATGCCCACATTGTAAAAATTGGAAAATCAACTATTGTATTATATGTTATAATGGTTATCAATTATTGTTTATGTAGGTCATTGTCTGGGGTATAGCTGTGAAAATGAATTGGGGGTGGATATGCAATGTTCAAGTATGTTGACAATGACCTTAAAATAATGATGTTATCTTTTAAGCCATTAAAGTTGTGATCATTTTTACCACAAGGTGCCTGAGTCTTATTGGAGGGTTATGGGTTTTACAAGCGTATGCTGAGAAGGCGACTATGCATATGTCATGGCACACACAAATTACAGATTTTCTCTCACACTCTGCATGGTCTCGTTAATTAGATCTCTTAGCAGCTTCTCCCTAATGCTTTCCTGGGCAGTATTTTACTGCTACATACATGATTTTTATGTAATGTCACAGTTATGACAGGTAAAAATATTTGCTTTATTACATTTTTTTTTTTTTGCAGTTTAAATCATGTTATTGAATATTATCAGAAAACAACGTAAACAATCAGGGTTATTCATTAGTCGGGAATTCAAAGTGAAGCCTAAAGTATACAAACGGGAATAAACCTAACAAATCTCCCCTCAAAAAAAATAACCCTGAATGTGTTCTTGTGATAAAATTCAATGCCTGAATCTTCCGAATCTTCTTACTCATTGCTCAGCTTACAGTGAGTGTTCCAAGTTAGAGGGTCACGCTAGCACCATGACCAAATCATCTAATTGAACTGGTACTGGTATCTGGAATCCCCTGGCACTATCCTACTGTTCAGTGCTAAACTCTTTTTTTAGCTCTAGCAGCAATAGGCAGGAATTAAAGTCCTCGTCCTATATTACCTATCCCTTGCTTGGATCAATACAATATGGATAATTTGGGTTAAATTCCATTTAGCCAAATATTCAGCAGAGGGGATCTGGTACAAATAGGTTTGGTTCCATCTCAATTTGGGACACACTCTTTTAGGATTGGGGCTGCGATGGAAGCTACACAGCTGCGTTTAAAGGATGATTTGGTTAAAAAGATTGGTAGGTGGGAATCAGTGCGTTTTAATACCTATGTGAGACCTGATCATTTCGTTTAGTTCGGGCAGGTTTGTTTGTTACGGTACATGTTGTTAATATGTTTTTCTCCTGTAGGTTGGAGTGCTTGGGTGATTGGACACTCGTTCATGTAGTGGACACAACTGACCCTTATTAGAAAATGGTTTGACACTGAATAGTGGGACAGCATGATGGACCTACAAGCACCACAACCACTTCAGAGTATCAAATTAGCAATTCTGTAAAGGTTTAGCTCAACTTTATTGAATATATTGCTGCAGCAAAAATTTATTGGTTTATGTCTGGTCAAAGAAGCTATTGTTTTTTCAACAGAAACAGCTTGTATAGACAAAAAAAGGAGGACATTTACACGAATTACCATTATATTGCATTTAAATGAGCTATTTAAAAATTGCATAATCTCTACGCGTAGCTGCTTTCTAGTGACCATTTTGGATGAAACTTTCTCATGTTTTGTTAGCCGTGTTGTTATAGCGTGTAGTGACTCCAGAAAATTTGACAAGATAGAGTGACGCCAAATTAATTTACAGTAGCAACTGTTGTTCCCAAACTAGCTATAGCAAACATATTGAAATTTCATAATATATCATCAGTTTGGTATGTATAGTATGCAGTCTGACTTTAAAACAATATGAATTTAAACCTCATGACTAAAATTTTGCTGCTAATTGAGAGATATAGGAGGCAGCTTTAGACAACAAAAAGAGACAATGAAGATGTATTTACTCTGACTACCATGGTGCCCTTAACCCCTTAAGGACCAAGGTATGTTTTCGACTTCAGAACCACCGAAAACTAATATTTGTGATCTATGTTTCTTCAACATTAAGTGTACACACATTTCTTTCTCAATAAGAGGCCCCACATTTATTGTATTTTTTTTTTTAATTGACAGGTTGGGCTTTCTTTTGATACCGTTTATGTATTTATAACAACATATTATGTTTCAATAAAATATTAAAACAATTGTAAACAATGTGAGAAAGATACAAAAAAACAAGTCCTGAGCTCAGACTCCCATTACTCCTGGGCGGCAGCAACGACCATAGTACACATCAGCCAAATTACATATAGTAAAAACCAAAGAAAAATGTTACATGTGCTCTTTCCCAAATCCCTTTGTATATTTAAACAAATTGAGGTTTTTAGTTACCTCCAATGGGCATGAGAGGGTATGCCCACCTGCCACATCAAGGCAGACCTCTTAGGTGGGTCCTAACTCTAACCATTCGCCTTGCTTCCTTGAGCTTCTGGCAAAGATATCTCTAATGAGACAGAAAGGGGTATTTTTTATATACATCCCTACATGCTTATTAACCCTTAATAGGGAACACATGGGATGGGCAGCAGCATTGCAACCAAGCAGTGCGATACAAAAGTGAATACAAATACAAAGAAACTAGTCCTGCGCTCAAACTCCCATTACTCCTGGGCGGCATATATTTAAACCAGGTGTTTGAGGGGCTTGTAGAGTCAAATAACAGACATGCCTTAATCATGACATGCTTCCTTCCTTACTTCTTAGAGATAGCATTTGGTGAAGTGACCATATCTGCGTCACTATACTGACCAACATCACAGATTTTTTCAATTTCTAATCCTAAATAACCCTAGATAAACCTAAAACGAACTATCCCTAACCCTATAAGTATTACCATTATTATCATTATTAACATTATTTGTATATTGGCTAACTGATATCACAGAACTGTACATCAGTTTGCTCTAAGCAGTTAGACATACATATATTTTTCACAAACTAATCAAAAAGAATTGCAATATATATTATTACTTACTGCCTAATTGCTGGCAGTGATAGACTAAATGTCCCGGGCTAACCTGGCCCCAGTGCTCTTAGCCTATAATTGCTGTCAGAATATATGACTAGCTAATTCGAAAGTTCAGTTCCGTATTAACCAAATTGTACCAGAGGAGTAAGGCTGTACACTCAAAGAGAGAGAGAGAGAGAGAGAGACCTGGTTTGTGAAATGGCTAAAAACTAGTTTGGCATGAACCAGGAGAATAATATCCTGTGGACTTTTTACACCATAAACACTATAATGAGCTGTAATGGTGTTAGAATGACCATTAATGTAATTTCTAATAAAAACAGTCCTAAAGTTCTGTAAAACAGAATCATCGGACTAGTAGCTATCATTGTAGCATCAATGTTTTACTAGGCATTTTAACCCTTTGTGTTCCAAAACATTTTCATGTATTTCAAAATTTCTTAATTATTTTTTGAGGAAAAAAAACACATACTTTAGATTTTATATAACAAGGTTTTTTTTGTTATAACTACAAACTAATTAAAATGTACTATTCTAAAACTTTACACTTCATGTTAGCCTTTAGATTTTTTCATTGTATGAAACTTTTTAAAACACGTACCTGGAAGTAACGCAGGTTTTTTTAGGCAAGACCTTTCGGTCTAGATCGCATAGCATAAAGCTGTTTACTATTGCGAGTTCAAGCAGCCATAAGAACATTTTCCTCCACCATTTCACTAATTTTCACAGGAAGACATAACTTTTGCAGTAGTGGTCTGCTCTGTCCAGAACACCCATGTATTTGTTGTATTCAGAAATAGCTATTGGCTTTGAAATTGTTCTAATTTGCCTTTGGCAACTATGCTTTGAATTTCTTCCGTGTCCGCAGTGTACACCATTGAGCACATGGATACAATTCTTCGACCTTCGACCAGCACAAGCCCAGAAGATGATAATAAATACCAGTATTAGAAAAAGGGTTCAGGCACTCCAATGTCTTCAGGCACCATTATTAGAACATGTGGAGCACTGCTTGACAAACACTCCCCTAGAAGTCAAAACGTTGCAGTTTTCCACGTGTTATTAAGGGTGCCTGAAGACATTGGAGTGCCTGAACCCTTCTTCTAATACTAGTATTTATTATCATCTTCTGGGCTTGTGCTGGCCCTTGGTTCAGCTAAGCACCCTGTCTTAAGTGAATTGAGTTCCTTTTCCATTTTGCAATGTAAACACATGTTAGCCTGTTCCTTAAGACACTGAAAGTAGCATAAAGCACAAATTAAGCACAATTCTACTGGTAAATGGAAGGTCATGATGAACTAAACTGTAGTTTTGCAGAAATATGTAACAAATGATACTAGGTAACCCATTTTACTATCACATAAGCAGTAAACTCGAAGTCCCCATTTGGGGGACTTCTGTGGATTGTAACTTTTCCACTGTACTCTGCCCTTTAATCCAACAGTGCTTTCATCTACTTTATATTCACTCCAGGTATAAGTAGTCAACTGCATTTTTTGTTTATGTAGTTTGCCACACTTTTTATTTTACTCTTTCGTTTCACTTGAATCAGAATTACTGGGGTTACAATCATCTTCATTACTGAAATCATACTCAGAATCACTCTGTTCTAATATTCTGGCTAATTCTTCCTCAGATAAAACTTTAGACACGCCATTTCTTTGCATTTTGGATATGAATTCAGGTTTGCATTGCGCATGCGTGCCTATTTGCAGCATTCGCATTTAAATGCATGCGAATGCGAGTGATCTGAACAGGCACATTTGCGCACATTTGGCACCCGACACAGAGGATCACTGGTACTTTTCACGGAAAATCAGATGTTGAAAAATAAGAGGTAAAGTATGTTGTCAGACATTTTCAGACTGGAAAGGTCTATTGACGGTACATAATTTTAATGTTAGCAACTAGGGTTTCACCCCATTGTTTGACAGTCTCGCTAACAAACAAAAGAATGTAGCTCGACACTCTTTCGAAAAATAATGTGTATAGTGTTTGGGAGCAATACATCAGAAGAAAAACTTTTGTCTTCACATCAGCTAACATTGGCATTCTTAATAAAATAGCAAAAGGCACTATTTGAGTGATATTTAGCTAGTGTAATTGGGTGAGAAATATTTTATCAGCACACATTAGGCCCTTAATACCAGAAGAGCATTGTTTGAATGCTACAACTTACGTAAGTATTGTTACTGACAATGGGTTAAAAGTATTCAGGAGTGGCCAAATCCTCCCATACAATGGAGTTCTAACTGGTTATGTAGGGGCAGTCCCCCAGCGGTCTATGGATCTTGTGACAGGCTGCTGAGATCTTGCTGCACTGATTGCCTAGTACCCTCACATGCCCTGTACTAATGCTGGAGCCATTATGTTATGTGATGGCACCTCAGCCCTGGCATCAGTACAGAGCTGCAGGAAATTGTGCAATCAGTGAGTAGAGATCCAAAAACATAAACTTCTAGACCCCATGGATGAGGCTCCCTTTCAAGAATTTCAAGTTAAATATGTATGTTCAGTACAATAAATACAACAAAACTTTAAACAAAATAGTTTAACAGATGAAAGATAAGCAATGTTCCTGTTGTGATTACTTGAACTTTTGTTGTATACACAGTCACTTATGTTTATTTAGTTCATTGTGCAGATGGAACTGGTTATATATTTTCATTTGGACACACCCTCTTCTGACTTTTTTACTCATAAGAACATATAGAAACACATATAAAAAATGTTCTTACTTTTAAAGAAATTCAGACGATATAGGTTCTATATAGGTTCTATAGTATGATGAGACCAAAACTAAATTTTTAAGCAAAATGCTAAACAACAGGCTTTTGCATTATCTTTCAGACAAATGCAAATTCATGTGAATTTAGGGCAATTTGTTCATTTGTCAGAATAACGAATGAAAGGCATTGTAAATGGAATAAATGAAAAGCAAATTATTTGTTGGACGATTGTTTTTGTTTTTTTATTCCAGTCCCTCGTAAATTGGACTTCATCAGACAGATTTGGCAATGTAAATTGTGCTTGCATGCTATTTGTTTTTGTTTTTTGAGTGCTAGGCCTCGTGAAAGAAATCTCTTCCTTGGGCAATTCACAAGTTGGTGACCTTAAAAAATAAGTGTATTTTAGCAAATCTGACACTGCTAGTGTTAATATTTTGTAGTTTGTTTTTAGAAGACAAATATTTTTTGAAGGTGGAGTATAAGTCTGTTAAAGAGGCAAGTAAAATAAACTGTATTTTCTATATTTAAACACTATCTGTGTAACAGGAATGATGAGACATGGGGGCATAACTAGGAGAGTCACGGACAGTCACATGATGTGAGAGTGCCACCAAACCTAGGCTGAAAATCAAATTTTAATTGCACATACCCTTTTAAATGGATGTCTAGTGTCATGAATATTTTATGAATAATGTACCTGTCATGGTACCTGTAATTTCCACCTCTGAGGAGGTCAGGTATCTGGACAGGGTCTCTCCCAAAGGAGCTTGCAAGTCCAAATATTTCGGCAATTTCGGCCGTGTTCACGCCGGCCGCGCTAGCTCCTCCCCCTTTTATGACGCGACGACCAGTAATCGACGTCATGACGTCATCATCGGTGCGGCCTGCCAGAAACCGCAATTCCGGACCTTTTGGGGGCGTGGTAATCAATTAAGGTGACTAGATACTTAAAGGAATCCTGTGTTACAACTCATTGCCCTGTCGTG